CTTTGAAAATGTCTGGGGCAGGTGACTTCTAGGGCTTTGCTGCAGCTGTGTTCTGAAACCCTCCTCTGACCAATCCCTGACTCAGGTGTCACTGTGTGTGGCTCACTCCCTGAACCTCTGTTAGAGCTTCACTGTTATTTCCTTACTCTCCTCATGCAGCCTATTGTAACTGCCTTATTGAAAGGTGAAACCTCCTTCCAACCATCATTTTTATCTCCTTTCTTTCTCACTCCCTTTATGTTTAGTACTTTCTCCACATTCTAATATATAGTAATTACTTTTTATGTTTTATCTTCTATGTATCAGTATTGATTAAGGTATCAACCTTGGATAGGATGAGACTTTTGCGTTCTTTATATCTTAATGTTTATAATATTTGCTAGTCCATGATAGATATTAATAAATTTTTTGAGGAGGAGGTACCAGGCATGGAACTCAGGACCTTGTGCTTGCCAGGCAGGCACTGTGCTGCTAAGCTATATCCCAGATTCAACAAATATTTATTGATTTGTTGATTATAATCACTGAGTTAGAAATGAAAGTTATAGACTTTTCAGATGCATATTTGAGATAATAAATGTGAGTTTAGCTTTTTCTAAATCATAACTTTAGAATCCCTTGTCAAGTGAGGAAGTACTATTTGGTAAGAATTACTTGTTAGTCTAGTCTTGTTTCTCCATTAATTCTAAAAGAAAGTTTTACAGGATACATCAATCTGGGTTTGAAGTTGTTTTCTTTCAGGACTTGAAATACTTCACTCCAAGTTCTTCTTGATTTGATGCTTTGTGTTATGAAGTCTGTTGTGATTCTGACAAATTTTCCTTTATAGGTGATGTTTCTTTTCTCTAACAGCTTTTAATATTCTGTTATTATGTTGAATTTCTGGGCTCTTTATTATATGTCTGGGTGTAGATTTATTTTGGTTATGGCTAGCTAGAGTCTATGTGCCTCACTTATCTGAAGGTCACTTCCTTTTCCTGTGCTTGGAAAGTTTTCTGCAATTATTTCTGTAAATAGACTGTTAAGGTCATTTGTGTTGACCCCTGTTTTTTCACTCACACTTATTATTCTTAAGTTATGTTTCTTTTGATTGTCTTGCAGCCACTGAATTTTTACTTCCTCGTTTCTTGTTATTTTTAAGAGATCTTTCCTTCCACAATCACAAGCTGCAAACCTGTCTTCAAGGTTTTTGAAAGTCTATCTTTAGTTTCTTTCAAGGGCTTTTGCCAGCTTTCAAGGAGTTTTTAATTTCCTGTAAATCTCTTTGAATCTGTTTCATGTATTCTAAATCTTTTTTGTATTGTTCATTCAAGGTTTTCCTCATTTTTCTATGCTCCTATATTATTCCATCTATGTCTTCTTTAGAGGTGCTTAGTGATTCTTTTACTGTTTTCATTTCTTCTTTTACCTGTAATAATATTTCTGTTCTAACATCTTTTATAGCTTCATGAAACTGTTCTTTACCTCAGATGCCATCATTTCAGAAATTTCAAGTGTGTGTCTCCCGATCTCGTCTGCATTTATACCTCCTGGATCAGCTCTGCTTGGGTAGGAGCCCATAGTCTGCCTTTTCCTTCTTCATCTGGACATATTTCTGGATTCTTTAAGACAAGTGGGTAGTGGGGTCCCAGGCACTTCCCACATTGGCTACAATTTCTCTAAAGCGAGACTGTTTGTTTGTTCTAGCCAGTACTGGCTACAGGTATCTGATGGTGACCAGCCCTGGTATGTGTGGCTCACTGCCTGGTGCAGGGCTGGCTGCTGCTTTTCCCACAACGTTGGCTCCTGGATGGCTTGTGGAGTGCATGTGGGAGCGGGGCTGATCACTGCCTCCTAGCTGGTTACTGGCAGGGATCTTCAGTGCTAGCTACTGAAGTGCATGAGTGCAGTCAGTGCTGGCTGCCACCTCCAGACCCAGCTGGTTACTGGCAGGGGGCCCACAACATGGCCATTGGAGTGCATCTGGCAGTGGGGCTGGCTGCTGCTTCCAGGCTGAGCTGGTTTCCTGTGGGGAACCTTGGTGCTGGCTGCTGGAATACATGGAGGGGTGGGGCTCAATCTGAGTAGTTTCCACTGGTCTGCTCCAAGCTAGGAGCTGCTGGAGGAAGCTGGCTGCAGTTCTGGTTCTGAGCTTATTCTGATGAACCCCAGAATTGCTCCTGGTCAATGCTATCTCTTGTGGGAGGACTGAGCCCTCTGCACTCACCATCAGCCAATGCACTCCTCTGCATCCACTGCTCCCCTCCACCACCAGTCTCTTTGCAGAGGCCTCCAGGCTCGCCTGCCACCACCATCACGATGAGCATGTACCCCGAGGTTCCAAGAGTACTTCTCACACAGTGGGTCCAGCTCCAGGCAAAGGCACTACCAATTACCAACTTCTTCTTCGTTTAAGTTTTTCTTTTTTACTCTCTCTGTGGGCTTCAATTCTCACTTTAGATTCTTCCTGGGCCCAGTTCCTTCCTTCTTGTATCCCATGATGCTGTATTCCAGCATCTGGACTGTCTCCCAGAGAGGCTGTTTACTTTGCTGCTTACTGTCTGCCATCTTCCCAGAAGGCTTACCCTTTGGGTTTTTATTATCTTCAGATTTTATCCTGAATTTTTGTATGCTTAGTGAAATCTCAGTAGATATTTGCCTACTCTGTTGTAGACACTGCTGGTATCTGTGATTCATGTTCTTCCTTTGGAAGGAAATGCACACAAGTATATCAAAGGCATAGCAAAGCATGACTAGGTGATGTTAGGCATAAATCCATTGGGCTTTAGGGTCACAGAGAGAAGTCACTTTGCAGTGCACATATGGTTTGCTTTAGCTTGAGTACCCTGTCCCAAAGGCATTATTGTCTCAAAGACAGAACTCCAGCTTTGTAAATTCCACAAAGACCCTCTTCTAATTCTCTTTCTTTTGTCTCTGTGAATACCATGTCCTTCTCACAGCAACAACTGGAGAGCTGCAGAAATGCTTAGAAGCTCATCTCTCACTTACCCCACCTGCAACTTGAATTGATCTGCTAATGTTTTTAATCAGTCTTGCTAAATACTTCCTGTAGGGAAAATGAGTAGTGATGAGAAGCAATCTTGCCATTTCTTTCTTCAGAAAAATCAGTGACTGATTTCCAGATATTGCTTATTCATTGTGGCCTCACATTGTAGAAGATGGGAATTAAATTTTAGCTCTGACGATTATGGGATCCCTCAAGGGCCAGAATGTAGTAATTACAAAATTGAAAATTTGAAAAAAGATTCCAGAATCTGCATAGTGAATGAACTTCTATTGGGTCTTGCTTCTCATGTGAATTAGGGTTATTTCCATAGGAATGGTTCAATATTCTTTTCACTGGAATCCTAAAATTGTCTGATTTCACCACAAATTCTTTTATTTCTCCTTAATTTAAAGAAAAATTTCTAAGCCATTTATAGTCCTTTGACTTTTCCCAATTGTAAGGGTGTAGGCCTCCTGAAGACTTCCCAAACACAAACAGAAGCTGTTTACCTAACTCTGTACCCCACATGGAAGCACTCTGTCATCTTGGACAGTCTAACTGCTTACAAGATATCTCTTTCCTTCAAAGAATAACAGATGTCTCTGTCTTCATCTATTATTCAGAGTAATATATGTTTCCTAGGGTACTAGATGATTATGGTCTCCATATCTAATTCTTGGAAGCATCTTATCAAAAGTAAAAATTCTCATTTCCTTTATATTCTAATAAGATCAAAAATAGGAAAACATTTAATTAGTTGCTTCTCTGTACAATTTCCTTTTAATGTTTGCATAAATCCCATTTTGATGTATAAATTCCCACAGGATACCTGTGAACCTATTAGGCTGAGTCTTGCAACATTTGCAGTCTTAAAACTCTTGAGCATTTATAAATATTCAGTGCTGTTCAAAGTAGCAGAGCTATAATTATTTAACCAAAAGAAATAATAAATAAATAAATAAGATCTTTGAATTTTGGTACTAATGCTACTTATTTTTTGCTCTAGGAATTGAACAGCTTCTGTTGGTGCCCATGTAATAGGTTGTTCCAAAATCATGCCATTTTCATAGACATGTTATCTAAGCTTCTCAAAGGTGCCTTTTAAATCCTAGAAATAAAACATTGTCTATTGTTAAACAACTACATCAAATAGTGTTCTGATTCGTGTCTGTGTGTCCCCTCAAAGCTTCATGCAGTCATGGAGGTGGCTAAATCTAGCATTGTGATTGATTCATTTGTTTAGCACTGGGATTGGCAGTGTCTACCTTGTACACTTTCTGTTACTTGCAATCATCGTGAACAGCTGTCCCTTACCCATGCCACCCTGCCTTGGAGCCTGTTGAGTATGGGACTGAAACCTCCAAATTGCAAGCTAAATAAACCTTTCCTTCCTTCATTTGGGGTGTCGGGTATTTTGTCCCAGCAATGAGAGAAAAGTAAGCAAGACAAACAGAATGGTTTATTACTGTCACTCTTTATAGGTATAAGGTGTTCTTATAATATTTTAATTAAGCTCTCCAGTTTCGTATTTCATCATCAAAATACCAGCTTGGGTGGGAGGTGTAGTCCTTTGGTGGCTTGTCTGTGTGAGATACTGGTTCACTCTCTAAAACAGTGTGTGTGTGTGTGTGTGTGTGTGTGTGTGTGTGCACATGTACATGCAAAGACATACCAGGTCTGATTCTGAAGAAACATTATACACTAGAGAAGACATCACAGAAAAGGAGTACATAAGTGGATGTAGGGGAATTTGCTAAGTTTCTGTGTAAATAGACATGGGACAGACTGAATTTGTTTATGAAAGAGCTGGTCTTGACACTTTGCTCCAGTTATTTAAATTTGAACACCCCTAGTCAAGTAATATTTGTATCTGATGAAAAGAAGTAGTATCTGTTTTATTACTTTTTTATCAAATAGAATGTAGTATCAAAAGCTCTTTTCAGGGGCTTGGTACAATTTAGTTAATTTAAAATTCTGTACATCTGTGACTCTCAGTTTTACCTGCCTTGCTTAGGTTGATGTCATTGTGACCCTGGGAGGCCTTTCTGGGCGTTTTGACCAGATTATGGCATCTGTGAATACCCTGTACCAAGCCGTTCACATCATCCCTGTGCCAACTATAATAATGCAAGAGGAATCTCTCGTCTACCTCCTCCAACCAGTAAGTGAAAAGTGAATACAACCAGCACTTTGCTTCCACAGAACTTTAGCATTATAGTAGGTGAGGAGAGGAGAGAGCATTGGTTTTTCTCATCTTTTGAGTACAGCAGACCTGTTTGCCTGCCTGACGGACACTTTCATCATCTACTGCCCTGAGCCACTGACTGGTTCAAATGCAGGGGAGCCTCCAAATTTTCATCGCATTTCCAGCCGGAAGAAAAAGGAAATTCTTTAACTTCTAATTAAATTGACTAAGAATTAAATTAAGCCTTTTGCATTTTGAGCAGCTGAATGTGAATGACACTTGAGAGAAACGTCAACAGGGAAACACCAGGGTTGGCAAATATTTCATTGGAATTTTCATGTGTTTTGAGTGTTGTCAGTATAATTGGAAACTGAATTTGATTCTTTTTAAGAACCCAAAGGGAAATCTTTAGCTTTTACTATTCATAAGTTGCTTGATTATTAAATTTTACTCCCTCAAATAAATTTCTAATGATAATGTCATTCATTTCAAATAATAGGCATCAAAGAAAATTTCTACCAATGCAATGCATTAGGGTAGAATTCTTATTAAATAAACAAATTGTGTGATTGAGTTGTTGATTGCAGTTTAAAATAATCATTTGGTAATGTTTTTGTAAAGATATTAGACAATTATTTGCTTTTTTGCCTCATTATACAGTACTGCTTATGGTTTGCTTCTATTTCATTAATTATTTGCCATCTTTACCAGGCCATGACTAAAAAGCTTTTTTTTTTTTTTTTTGGTTAATATTGTGGGTCTCATGTATGCTCATCACTTTGCAGGAAATTTAGCATTTTTTCCTAGCTCTCTGCATTGCCTAGCCTTATGGTTTCTTAGAGTAAATGTAGAAGATAAGCAGAGCAACTTAGGTTTCAAACTTTATATTATCATTTTACTTAGCTAACAGTTATGCAGTTACCTGCTGTACTACATGGATGCCAGGAATAAAAAGAGGAAGTCCTATGTGATCTTTGTTCATGTTCAGTAAAGGAGATTTATGTAAAACTGTAATCGTAATATGGAAGATTAGTGCATAAAGATGATCAGAGAATAAAATACTCTGGCATTGTGTCATAAGGAAAATACCTTCACAGAGCTGGTGACATTTCATTCAGTCAGTCAGTTTAACATATATTTGTTGAATTTCAGACTGGTTTCTAGTAATAAAATGATCTAGAAAACACACAAAAATTCTTGCTTTCATGGAACATGCAAGGATGAGTAGATGTGTGCTCTGGAAGGTGATGGGAAAGTTCTTCAAGCTAGGAGCTGCAGTAAAGGACCATGGAAGTAGAGGGTATGTTGTAGGAGGTTCTTCTGTACAGCCAGAGTATGGCTTGAAGCAGAGAAAATGTCAGAAGCCTCAAAAAATCTTTTGGATCCTGACTGTGAAAAGCCCTGAATTCCACACAGTGGAAGATAAACTTTCAGACATCATGGGAAATCATAAAAGATTGTTCCTATTGGAGTGACTTGCACAGACATGCTACACAGAATTATGTATGCTAAATTCCCATGTTTCCCTACTGAAATAATGTATCCCAGTTAGTTTAGATTAGCCAGTGTGGTGACGCATGCTTGTAATCTCTGCATTCTTAGAGGCAGAGGCAGAAGATACATAAGTTCAAGCCCCATTTGTACAACTTAGTATTTTAGCAACACCAACTGTCCAAAATAAATAGATAAATAAACAGAATTTTTTAAACCTTACAATAAATAATAAATGAAGGTTTTAGTGTTTAGCTAAATGTGAGAGCACTGGGTTCAATCCCCTGCACTGCCAAAAATAGCCACTAGAGGCACAAATACAGTTAACAGCCCCAGTGCACCGCAGTGCAGCCTAGGGAAGGGAAGCTGCTAGCCAGGAAAAGGAGATGCTGTGAGAACTCAAAGCACTATCCCTGTCTTAACAGCCAGAAACTGACATCTGGAAGGAAGTTCTAGAATGATGAGCCTCATACTGTCTAGGAATGTAATGATAAGTGTGTTGTGAGTTGCGAAAGCCAAACCCCCAGTTCTCAAAATGGATTACATTTCCCTTGGTAGTCCACATCTCAAACCCTATGCCTGTGCATCCTCACTGTAGTAATTTTGATTTGATGTGACTGAAATGACTGGAAAATTTATCTTATCCTAGAGAGGCGAGTATTTTATAGAGTGTGACCCAAAGTCTCTATCAAGGGTGACCATGCTGGGCACTGACCTCCACCCCATGGATCAGTGGATTAGCAGTATAGCCTTTCTCCTTTGCCACCCTGGACTCAGGACATCTCAGTCCTCTGCTGCTTTACTAGTGTCCTAAGAAAATGCAAGACGTTGCAAATACAAATTCAAAAACCAGAGTCATTGTATTTTGGGGTTAATGCATGATTTGCTCTTATGTGGTCTATCATATATTTAAGTACTTTTAATTGTATGTATGCAAAATGTGATTAGAAGAAAAAGACAATTTAAGGCTACTAAAACTACTTCACAGATGCATTCTGCATCTGATAAGTGGGGTTTGTGCCAGTGAACTGAACTGACTGTCAAGTGTTTCCTTCATGTGAAGTCATGTAACATATCTTGTATGTTATGTACACACTAGATTGTGCATTGCATTAGGTATTGTGCATATTTTCAGGGGTCATGTTCAGAATGATGGTCCACAGGTTACTATTGATTGCCACTAGGAATCAGGTTGGGTATAGCATTACAAATTTAAATTAAAAGCATTTCCAAATATTCTGGAAGGCAGGCTAAAGACAGTCTGTCTTGTCCAGCAATGGAAAGATAAGTACTTTATATTTTTAGCTGGGTAGTGCAGTCCTGTAATTCCAGCACTTGAGAGGCTGAGGCAGGAGGATTGTTGCAAGTTCGAGACTACAAAGCGAGCCTAAGGCTAACATGAACTGTGTAACAAGACCCTGTCTCACAAAGACAAAATAAATTTAAAAAATTTTAAGAATTTATTTTTAGGGCTGGGGACAATGTCTGCCTAGCAAGTACAAAGTTCTGAGTTCAAGTTCTGGTACCAAAAAGAATTTTTTCATATTTAGAACTAGTATTAACATTTCACTGTTTAGGAAAGTAATTCTAATGATTCTTTTATAAGAAGGTTCATATTTGTGCTCCATGACAACAGTACCATGAGAAAAGTAGGACAGATAATATGTAAAGGGTTTTGATTTGGCACTTCTTCCATTACACTGCATTTGTGGTATTAATGCACTAAGGTACAGATGATGAACTCTTAAAACAAGTCACGACCCACAGCCTCATAATTATTCACAGGTATTGTGTCACTGACAGACCAGAGGAAGGATATGTGTGTATGTGTATATATTACTGTAGAGGCTAGATAGACAGATTGATACAGATAGATAGATAGATAGATAGATATCCTGATGTCCTCCAGTATCATTTTCAAATAAGATCCATGAATGTCGTTTAAATACATTCCCAAATAATAAATGATTTTTTTAAAAAGTATAATAAAATTGAAATATAACAATAATCTTTTCCATATAAGCTTATTAAATGTGATTACCATTCAGCTTTGCTATGGTACAATAAAAGTGATATATTTAGTAGAAATGTTAAATATCATGAGTCTTATCTTTAAGCACAGTGTCTTTTAAAGTTTTTTGGTAATTATAGATTACCTGAAATAAAGGATACTGATAGGAGAAATACATCATCTTACTCTTACGGGGCCTGTTTGGTAATTTTTTAGTGCTGTAATGTGTGAGAGAACTTCAGCAATGCCTATCAGATGAATGTGAACTGGTTGCAATAATCCTAGGTTATAAAACTTAAGTGTTGTTCTCTTGCTCTTTTAAAAAATCAAACAAAACAAAAGAAAAACCTAGCTTCAAATTATCTTAGTATTTCTTTTGGAATTCTACATGTGCCCCTCTCATGTGGCTAAATTGCATAAATAATCATTTTTCATTGATTAGTATTATTAGCTATGCAGTTCACTTAAAGTCACTTGGCCTATTCCAGTCTAATATTTACATTATTCTTTCTTTATTTTCATAAATCTATATCTTTATTTTCATAAATTATAATTTTCAGTATAAAACAAAGATGCAATAGTGTAGTTCTATGTAAGCTGTATGAATATGATTAAGCTTTTAGCATGTAAGTGTTTTGTGTTATATCTCAGCATATTTCAGTTGTGATAGGCCAGAATATCATTATGAAGTAAAACCGCAGTAGGTAGCACTCCCCTTTGGAAGGAAACAGTCCATCATTCATTTGAAAATGGAAAATTAAAAAAAGTGAATACTGACTTCTCCCTTGAAAGTAAACATTCTTCTTTTACACCCACAAATGTGTTCTTGATAAGATACCATTACTTTTCGCAAGCAGGAGCCTTTATGGAGCAGAAAGAGACCTTGTGGACGTGGAGCGTCACAGATGTCCGTGGCTGGCTGTGCTACGTTCCTGTTTATAACCCAGGGCTGTGGTTAGCATGCTGCCTGTGCAGACTGCAAATGGCTCCAGGTTTCCATACGCATTTTCTCATTTTCTGGTCCCATGCCTCTCAGGAATACAGAAACATTAGCTTCTGTACACTGAGCATAAATTATCTTTCATCTCCAAGTTTTATGGCAATTTGTAATACAAGTTAATAGGATTTATGACCAGGAAATGAGATGTCCAGAAGTTAATAAGGCATGCCTTTTACATTACTGCAAGCCTTGTTTGGTGATTCCTATTCAGGGTCCCAGGATCGGATGTAGGAGATTGTCATTTTTAGTCTCACTTGAACACACTTCTAAATGTGTTGTAAATGTGTCTTCTTTGTAATCTTATTTTTAACTGCTGCTTGCTTTTCCCCTTGACTAGATTAATTATTTACTAGATAATTTCTGACATTTTATAAATTCTACCTTTGTAGTTGCTGGTTATCAATATGACAAAATGTGTCAGTAGTCTGATAGAAAGAAACTGAATATTCATAATATAAATTTGGCATGCATGAT